GTGTGTGTGTGTGTGTGTGTGTGTGTGTGTGTGTGTGTGTGTGTGTGTGTGTGTGTGTGTGTGTGTGTGAGACGCTGTGTAATGAATTCCTATTAGATTTGTGTTTATTCCCCGTGTGCTGATAAGGAAGATGTGGGTAATGACTAAACTAGGTTTTGGACCACAGACACGTTTAAAAACACATTTATTGTGCAGAAGAGAAAAGTTATCAATCAGTTTAATCCAATCCTGTTGGAGATTTCATGACCCACCAGAACCGTCCACATCATTTTTATCTCTGATTGATTCACTTTCTAGAGTAAAATCATTTACAGCTAAACTAGAAGGGTTTTTACAGCAGCTGAAGCAACAAGAGGAACTTGAAACATTTTTAAAGCTGAAAAAAAATTCATTACAGAAAAACTGACAGAAAACTATTTGGCAAAACGACCATTTAACTAATTTATTGATCAATCGATGGTGAGAAGTTTACAGTTTTCTGCAAAATGTACCTTTTTCCTGTTGTTGATGCTTTGAAAGGCGGGTGATAATGTAACTGTCTGTCAGCAAAATACCCTCTTTCAGAGTTGAATATTTGAAGAAAATAATTAGTGGTTTCTGAAAGTGTTGAGTCAGCATTTATCTGTTTATGTTCCTCTGAATGTTTTTACAATCTAACTACTTCTGCAGACCTTCTGGTATTTTAGCTGTTCATGGATCAAAAATATTCTCCTCATTCAGGACATTAAAGAGCTGCAAGTTTTTGAACCTTTTGTATTTTTAAAATCTAAACTTTTATTCTTTTCCAGTAGAGATAAATCTTATTAGTTCCTTCAAAACATCAACATAATATCTGCCTCTTATTCAGCAAACATTCAGCAGTTATTCAGCAAATATTCAGCAGTTATTCAGCAAACATTCAGCAGTTGTTCAGCAAACATTCAGCATTTGTTCAGCAAACATTCAGCAGTCATTCAGCAAACATTCAGCAGTCATTCAGCAAACATTCAGCAGTCATTCAGCAAACATTCAGCAGTC